AATTCGCACATATTTTTACCCCTCATTTCTTGACTGTTTAGCTTGGGGATTATCATACTTGGCCTATTTTTTGGTAGGTTGTGTTCCTTTGTCACATTTCAGGTCCTAGCACGTAAAGTGAAGCATAGGAGCAAGTTTCAAGTGGATCGGAGATCAATTGGCAACTCGGGAGAAAAAACTTGGGCATAACTTGAGGAAGAATGGCTTTCTATCAAATTTTACGGACAAAAAATCATGTAATCTATGCATGATAAGAAAGAGGACAAGAACAAGAGTGTCTGGGATCAAACGGCGACTAATTCGGAGTTTGGATGAGGGAGAAAGGACTGCAAGACAACAGCCTATCCAAAGCTACGAGCTAGCCTTCAAAGTTACGGCCCAGCCCATAACTTTGCCATTTTGGCCGTAACTCGAGGCCAGGGGAGGCATAATACATTCAAGAGGTTACACCTTTAAACCCAAAGGTTACAGACGTAACTTGGCTTCTGGGAGCTGTACAAATGCGTTTTAGCATTTTGAAGAGAGAGGGAGAGAGCTGGGTTTTGGATCCCAAACACCCAAGGGATGAAGCCTAGAGAGAGAGGGAGACTTAGGAATATTTTTGGAGCTATTTTGGAGGATTTCTTCACCATTTAAACTCGGGAATCAAGCTTGTAGATGGAGTAACTTCCCTTCACTTAGGTTTTCAGGAGCCCTAGATTTGTATGCTATGAAGAATTGTATGAACTCAAATTCATGATTGATTGATGTTTTATATTCGGTTGAGGCATTTATTCAGAATTACTTGAGTCCTGATCAAATTCTTGTGATTCCGCCTTTAACCTATAATGATAGTTTCTGCATAGGTTAATAGAGTAACCTGAATTGGAAGTAACAAATCGATTGCTTTAGTTGAGAAGTCGATTCACTAATGTGTACTAGAATTGAAACTAGTAGTGGAAGTTTGGTTTGTTATTGCCTCGATTAGTTTATGCATGTGGAGGTTAGTCGCCCGCCGGGTATTCGTACTGAGAGGGTCTGGAATTTTTTAGTCGAGATTCCAGACTTGTCAAGAACTTTCTGCAGCGTAAATGTCAGCTGAATTGAATTGGGTGAATTACAACTTGTCCTAACTGAAATATAGGGGGAATCATACCTAATTGAGTTCCCAATCTATAATTAGATTAACTTTAATTGTAGTTCACTAAAGTAGTTATAGTTCTTCTATCTTAATCTGGTTTGTTAGATAATGAACTGAAGCTGAGTAATAGTAACTCTAGAAATCCATTGATTCGATCTTTATTACTTCTGACACTATACTGCAGTCCCTTTCATTGGTTACACTTGGCCATTGTTAGGAGTTGTGTTTTAGCGAGTCACCTAAATTTCCCTAAAAGGGGTTACCCGAATTGCCAAGATGTGGGGCTATAAGGGGATTTCCTCCTCCTATGTCAAATTGACCCAACATTGAGATATGATAAACAACACCCAAAATTCATGAATAATACCTCAAACATTATATTAACCATTAACCCAACACGCATAGAGTTCAATTCTTACAATCTAGCACATCCTAGACTAGGATTTCCAGGATCCCAGTGAAATGGGAGACTACTCCATAGGTAGGAAAGGAAATACAAGCAAGATGGAAGGGGGAAAACCCATAGCAAGATGATTCTCCTTCCTTCTAGTTGCTTGATTCACCTTTTGGAGAACAAAATCTTCAACCCTCAAACCTAGGATAAGTCCAATCCTTCTTATTTCTTCTCTTAGATGGTCACTTTCTCTCTATCTTGAAGAAGAAGAACCAAGTCTCTCTAGAACTCTCTTATTTTAGTTTGAACTCTCTCTCCTTTATATAATCCATTTCGGCTCGTTTCACTGTCAGAAGTCACGCCTGTGACGTCAAACGGGTGAACGTGATCTCAACGCAAGACGCGTCGTTTTACTAATCAATGTCACGGGCTGAGCTCCAACTTCACGATCGGCTAACCGTTAAAATCTCCCCCAGAGCGTGATCTCTTCCTTCTGTCCATCTTTACTCCATTTTCGCCCTCTTTTGCTCGACTTTTGATCCAGGAGCTAATTCCACCTGCCGAGATATGAAACATGCTAAAACATGCACAAACCTAGCATAAAATTGCTCCTCGGACGATGTGAATGCCACGAACATCACAAGATAAAGGGGTACAAATATGTGCAATCACACCCGAATCAGTTGACAATTTTTTTGTCATCTTTGGGGTGTCGACAGATTAGTAAACAATGATCTCAAGTTGAGATTGAATATATAAATAGGTTTGAAACTCTAGAAGAGTATTCAAAGATGATAAGTTATTGAATGACTTGAAACTCTAGCTAGCAGAGTATTCAAAGGTAGTTGAAATCAATAACTTGAAGGAACAATATTTTCCCTTGGATTGCAAATCAAATATTTGCAAGAGAAATTCATGTGCATCAAATATACAGATGATTAAAATCACTATGAGAATAATGATCTATTTGATAGAGTTATACATTATTTAACATATTTCTCAATAATTGATCTAGACGATCATACATGAAAGTGATATTACATGTATCTTCTGAAAAGATATATATGAGAATATTTTTAGCAAAGTTTGTTTCACTCATGAACTTCATAAGATTTGTGAAACCAACAAAGTTTGTTAAAGCACTATCCAGTAGATTTGTCTGTTACACTATTACTTCCCACAACATAATGTTAAAAGTTATTGGAGCTCGAAGACTCCAAACTGTCAATAGATCTCTCTATGAGGGGGACTTTATGCATTACAATCTTTTTCCTCTAACCAGGGTTTTTCCAACTAGGTTTTCCAGGTAAGATTTTCAATGAGGCAGTATACAAAAGTGTAACAGAAGAATCATGTACTATTTTCTCTTTCAGTAGGTTTTTATCCCAAATAAATTTTCCTAGTAAGATTTTAATGAGACATGTTCTTAACTGATGGACATCCAAAGGGGAGTATATAAATATATACATGTGGATGTCCTTCCTCCACCACTCATCTCTCTAACCACCACTCATCATTGAGATTATTGGAATAAAAGTAGTGTTACTCTTTTGTATTCATTTATGTTTCAATGATGTTGCTTATTTCCATTTCCGGGATAATTATTCATAACACGGGGAAATTTTGTCTTTTCCTTTTTTTGGTCTTTATCTTGCACGTTCCTTGTATTGTAGACATTTTGAATTGGGGCAAGGTTGGGTCCTTGTCGCACAAGATTTGTTTTTCTTGGATATGTGTCTTCCACAGTTGATTCATTGGGTTGCTGATCTATACTATTACTTGGGATTTTTTCAATAATAGCATCTTAAAAAAAATTAAAAAACTAGCACCCATATGAAAAAATTGACAGAAATAGCACCAATTTTTTTTGGAACGCACCCCTAAGGTGCGTTTTATAAGTAAAACGCATCTGAAGGGTGCGTTTTACTTATAAAACGCATCAGAGGGGTGCGTTCCAGTTTACAAAACGCACTAGGGCGGTGCGATTTAATGCTGCTGCGGAACGGTCTTCAAGACCGTTGGATGGAGGAGCGATCGGGCGGCTGAACGCTTGCCAGTGGAGCGATCCGCGCCAAGGATACCAGATCGCACGCCTGAGATGCGGTCAACCCTAGGGAAGCGCAAAACGCATCGGGAGGGAGCGATTCGCGCGAAGGCAAAATTACCCTACCACCCCTGGAGGGTGCGGTCTGATGGGTATAAATACCCCCCCCCCCCCCCCCTTCCCCTCTGATTTTTTCACACCTCATCCTGAGTGGTTATGAGATATTCCTCATGCCACAATGACCCACTTTCTCTGTTTGGATATCGGTACACCATACGATCAACTCTTCTCGTGCCATCCATGCAAGTAACGTTAGTGCACATTTGATGGAGGTCTTCAAGCAGCGGTCTGGTAGCGACCTTTATCTTCTGAAAATTGCCACCTACGTAGGTGACCCCCTTTCCGGTCTCTTCCGTGTAACCATTCCACCGTAAACCAAGCGTAAACTTTTGGAATGCCATCTGCGATAAAACCGTAGTTCAGTTAATATCATAAAAATAAAAAATAAAAAAACAATAAAAAATAATACTAAATAAACTTACGAGTTAACGTTAATCGCAAAACTACTAAAGAAATATAGAGCTACAACAGAAAATTGAAAAGGGAGAAGGAGAGGTGTGAAGAGAAGCGGTTGTCCGGGAGGCCTTTTATAGGCAAAATCACTGTGCGGTTTTCGTCTGCCATGCAAGCCCATGCATACTCACGTCTGTTACGTCTGCATGGTATGTCGGACATTGATTGACCAAAACCGCACCTTCAAGGTGCGGTTTGTATGGCAAAATCGCACCATGAGGGTGCGGTTTTGTTTGGGAGAAACAAACCGCACCTTTATGATGCGATTTTAATAAGTCAGGCCAAAAACGCACCTCGGCCAAGCGGGTTATGTAGGTCAGACCTAAAACCGCTTGGCCAAAATGCGGTTTTGGTCCAGAAATTTGGAATGCACCCTTAGGGTGCGGTTTAAATATAAAACGCACCTCTAAGGTGCGGTCTATTAAAAAGGGTGCTATTAGTGTAAATTTTTTTGGATGGGTGCTATTTTTGTAATTTTTTTTTAAAGGTGCTATTTTTGGAAAATCCCCTATTACTGCGTTGTGCTGGTTTTCAATTGAGCTTCTTAGTTTATTTTGAGTTTCTGATCAGCTTTCACAGTTCTACCAGCTTTTAGATTTTGTCCACAGAGTGAGGAGCTTCTGTTTACCACGCTCTTTTGGCGGGTAACTCTTCTCTTCTGGGCCGTAAGTCTCCTTGTGTTAATAATAAATCAGGTCGTTCATGAAAAAGAAAATCTTGATATGCTTCTTTGGGCTGGCAAGTCTTTCAGGTTTGGACGGGAAACTGATCACCTGCCCCATCAAAGGCGGACTCTTTCCAAATGAACATTCGCTAACAAAAGAAAGCATATTTTATGATATTGGGGGCACAAACAACAAATGTATATCAGAATCCCAGTAGCTTTCTTCCGCAAGTGCATCCATGTCCCAGGTTGAACACTGTCAGCAGCTGAAACAATCAAAACCTCTGATTCTTCTTAACAAAGAGTCCATTTCACATTGGAATTGAACCTCGAACAAAGCCTTATGTATATGTATAATTACATCCTACCAAAAATATACAGCCTCAGTAGGCATCGGAATGAAAGGAAAATGAAAAACAAAACCAAGTTATGCTACAAACAAACAAAAATAGCCACTTACCAAAACAGGTATGTGGTTATATCTAACTACAGATTCAACCAGGTAAATCCTTGGTTCTTCTCATGTCAAAAAACAATGAGAACACCTAAACGTGAAAAGAAAATATTGTTGATCTAACCATTTATCTCTCTCTTCTTTCTGGATGTAAGATATCCAGCTAGATTCCCTAAGAATCCTTGCTTCCTTCCTTTACGACAAGGAGAAACAACCTCTACAAGAGCAGCGGCACCACCAAGGCAATTGGGAGGAAGATAGCTGCTTTCTTGCTCGCTGCTTTCATTAGGGACCACATCTCTCAACTGCCGAAGCAATTCCAATGCACTCACTTTAGCCTTGTCATTCCCATTTAACGAGATGCAACAAAGGCTAGGAATCACGCCTTCATCCATCAGCAAATGGCAGTACTGAACTCTCTGAGAGCATAGAGAGAGGAGGACAGTCACTGCATGCTCTTGTTCCTCGCTACTCCCGCTCTCCAGCAGTTCAGCGATTGAAGAGATGCAGCCATTGGTCTCAGCAACAGTAACCCGAGCCTCCTCCGTATCACACAAGTTCTTGAGCAGAAGGATGCAGTGTCTCGCAACACTGCTATCCTTAATGAAAGGAACCAGCTTCGGAATAAAACATTCAAGAGAAGCTAACTTGGAACAGACGTCACTGCTTGACGAGGACAAGTTGCACAAGATTCTGATCACCTGTTCCTGTAGCTCCTTCCTCTCACGGTCAAATATCTTGGGCAGAGAGACCATGGCACCAGATGCTTCGATTTTGGACCTGCAGCTTTGGTGGGCAGAGAGCGTGTCTAATATTGCGACAGTTTCTTCAATTACTTCACAGTCAAGGAAAGATGCCAGCAAACTGTATGCATCTTCCTGCAATTGTGATACCCCGCTTCTGCATAGAACCAGGACAGTTTACTTAGTAACGAAAAATGACAAAGAAAAGCATTATCTAATCTAAGGGGGAGAACTGGTTGGAAGGAAGTTCTGCTGGTAGAAATTACAGTGATTACACATTTCGACAGAAAATTGTACAAATTGTTTTGTCCGATGCATTTGTACATGACATTTTGACAGAAAACTAGAAAAAAATACACGTGAGACTCGTTTTTGAAGACTGCAGAGTCAAATACTTCCTGATCCCAAGTACGTGAAATTGCACGTGCAATTTCAAATGCAGCCAGTATCAATAAAAACCAAACTATATTTGTTTAATAGCGGCACAAGTGAAAGCATGCTATCAACACAGTGGATATTTGCAGACAGTTAAAAGAATCTCCTTACCCAGCTTTGTCCACAAGTGCAAGAAGCAATATGGATCCGTTCTTCTGGGCTCGTAAATCACACCGTTGAAGAGCATTTCTCAAATGTATAACCAGCGGTTCAATAAAACTTCTCGACGACTCAGAAACCCAAGGTTGACAAATACAATTATTCAGGCGGCTATTTATATCCTGAACAGTCTTGTACTGGTAATCCCAAGGAAGCTCTGACAGCCGAGATAATATCTCCACATCCTTCTCACACATATTTGCATGATACTCACACTTATCAAGGCTGCCATGTTCAGGCATTAGCTCCGATCTTGAGCCATTAAAGCCGTAACTAGCTTCTAAAGAAGCTAGCGATACATTGCTGATATCGAGTTGAGCAATATCATTCATAGAACTGCTTAAACTAACAATGGAATCAGAAGAAAGATCCAATGACTGCAATGGTTGTGTAGTTGGATCCATAACGGTGATTCCATAGTTTGCACACCACTTTGATATAAGGGTTTTCATACCGGTGTTTGGAGTCATGAAACGGTTCTCCAGCTTCAATTTCGTCCTAGGGCATGTGCTGTTGCCATCATCAAACCACTTTTGTATCCACATCCTTTCATATGTTTGTCCAGAAGCAATGATGACAGGATCATACATCACTCTCCTTGATATAGGGCATCTAAACTCTTCAGGTGGTGCAGCAGCATCACTTGACAATATTTCAGGCTGTCGGCCATCTTTATCATGGTTTCCTAATCCTGGATTTATCCGTCGACTGTGCACAGAAGCATCGTTTGTATTATTAGGAATAAACGTTGTTCCTTCATGGTAACCATTTCTGTTTTTCACTGAGACCGAGTTCTTGTACTTCTTTAAGAGATACAAGAGGGTCTTTAAGATCTTTGTTTTGTTTGGGCTGCTCTCACCAACTGTGTTGAGAAGATTCTTGATAGATCTCACCTCAATTACTAAGTCCCTTTGGGATGTGATACGAAGCTTTGAGAGTGCAACTTGAAAAACACTACTTTGAGATTCTGCTGAATCTGTTCCATGACGAAGCAACTCAAGCATTACCTTCCCCGCCTCCTCTTCAGAGGGATCCATCACAAAGTTTGCTGCTTCAAGGTCATCGAGAATTGGAGAGAGCTGCCAAAAAAAAAAAAAAAAGATTCCCACATCAACTCCACCAAATGGTGAAAAAACAAACCTCCGTATACAACCAAAGAACACATATTAACAAACCCCAGTAGCCAAGATCACAGGGACCATCGTCTGAATCTGCCCCAAACTTTGTTCTAATTGCTTCCGCGATCTCATAAATTTGGCAACCATTGCCTCTCCAGTCATTGCCTAAAGTTGTTCAATTCCAATGCACCATAAGTAAATGGGAAATAGCTACAAACATCATGTAATGCAGCTAAAATGATATTTCAGTCAGCAATGGATGCATTCAGGGCAACTGACCACATTACAGAAAAGCAAGGGGAGATTAAATGGTTTACTACCAAGTATAGTTTGCTTGACCCAGAGCAATACTGAAGAAGTTGATTAGCCTTGTCAAGGGCAGAGCCCAATGAGACCAGTGCATGTATCCCAGATGAGCATCGAGGTCGGGAGGCTTCTATTTGTGGTTTTATTTGTGTAATTCTTTCTACCAGCATCATCAACTGAGCACACATCAAATGATGAACCTGTAACTCAGTAAAGAGTGGACTAAGTTACTAGTTTCCTCAAAAAGAGTAGTAGTATTAATGTCTAGAGCCAGAACCTCATGCTGCAGAAGAAAAGCCCTTAAAGTTCATAGAAGTAACCACTATGGTCTAACCCTGACCTAATCGCACCAGTATGGACAAAATCCAGAAACTCAATGATTTTTTACGTCCAGATTAACCAGTGAGTAAAAAATGAAGATTAGTTAGTTAGTACCTTAAATGAATGGAATTGAAGAGGAACCTCTGCTTGCTCCGTGACATCAGACCCCATTGAAACCAGGTGTGAGAAATGAATCTGTGAGTCAGTTAAACAAGCATCCAGTCAGTTCAAATCCGTATCGAGGCTGAATTGAATTGGGTCATTATGATCAGACCGAGTCAAACCACATGATTCTGAAGAAAATAAAAATGCTTGCCTTGGGATATGGAACCACAAGCTTACAGCAGCAGTGTGGTGGAAGATTGAAGACTAATTATCATTTTGCTTCCCCAAACCAACCAACCAACCAACAACACGAATTGGCTCTTACCCAAATCCCCAATCAACGAAAACTTGACCAAACCTACCAGGAAACTGCAGTTCTCGCACGCCAAAGAGACTCAAGAGTTAGTTAAGACTGCAGCTTCCTGGTGTATCCCATTCCGTACGGAAGCAGAGCCAAGAGGAAAAAGACGGAAACTTTATCGGCCAGGTACGTAACATAGCACATAATTTGCACTTAACAGAGCCAAACCCGCAGACTTTCTAACTATCAACCAAATTTGCAGGTGTACGTGGGTGTTTGATGCATCTGAATTACAATTTGGGGAAAGAATGGAGTTTATCAACAATTGCAACCTCTCATTAGTCATTACCCACCCAGCAAAAAAAAAAAAAAAAAAAACACAAGAGGGAACGGAAGTAAATGAAAGTTCGTAGGAAAGAGACCCACAAGAGTAACCTAGGAATTGTTCAACCTAGAACAAGAAGAAAGAAAGCCAGAAACAGGAGGACTGGACGGCGGTCCCTGTTTCCTTCACTCTTGCTTTGCTTGCTTGTGGATTGGAAATGAGATGATGACGTTCTCACAAACAAAACAAAACAAAACCAAACGAAAAGAAAAGGAAAAAAAGATAGCTGACGACGTTTGCCTTTTACGAAATGAATGGATGAATTACTAGTTGAGTTTGTTTTTATCTGAATGGCCGCGCCGGCTTCATTGAACGTGTGGTCGGGGACAAACGACCTAAGTTCGGACGGCCGTTTTTAAGTGAAACGAGATCCATGGCGCCGGCCATAGGGGAGTTAAATTTAATGGGCGGATTTAACCCAAACGAACTTAAACAAAGAAAGTCGAGCTTAGCATCTTACTTGTTTCTTTCTATGTCTCCTCCGTCCCTATATTAACCTTAAACAAAAGTGTAACTGACAATTAGAGGTTTAGACGTCAATTTCGTTATCTACAACTTGAGTGGCAGACTTAATCTTCAATCATAAAATATTGGCTACCGTGATAAGGTGGTTAGCTTTGTACCCTATCTATCTATCTATATAGGAGAAATTTTACAATGCTATATAGTATTGGTGCTATAGGTTTTTGCCTTTATGGTACAATTTAAAATTATACATTTATGTTATGGTACAACTTCAGATTGTACCTATACTTTTTGTACAAATTCTTGTATGGTACAACTTGAAATTGTACCTTTATGTGATGGTACATCTTCTAGTTGTAAAGTTGTACCATAACATAATGGTACAAATTGCTTTATGGTACAACCTAAACTTATACATTTAATGTTATGGTACAACTTTGAGTTGTACATTAAAGCACAAATGCTATATAGCATAGTAGAAGTGCTCATCTATATAGATCTATCTATCTATCTATCTATATTATATATTATGGCAATTCAAAAGTAACATCTTGCCACATAAGCACTTGTAGAAATAACAAGTTGCCTAGGTGAACATTTTTTTTACTAATAAAAAAAATTTATTATTGATCTATTTATTAAGTTATCTCTCTCTTCTTTTAGTATTTATGCTCACTTTTACTCAACATTAATAATAAGTTACATTGAAATGTAAATAAAAACAAGCATAAATAATAATAATTTTTTTCAATTAACAAAATATAAATATGAAAACAAAGAATGACATATATCGGGTTTGTTTAAACAAAAAATATACGATTAAATCTTATCAAGTAAATTATCTACTCATTTTAACCAATAACTTAATAATAAGTTACATTTTGATGAAAATTTTAAATAAGTACACACTTCAATAATAATATATTTGTCTATAAAATAAATTATAATGACACAAAGAAACAAATTAAGCAATTGAAAATCAATCAAATTTGAGAAATGAAATATATGAATTTATATATTAAACCTTCTCTTCTTTATAATATATATGTCTACCAATTAAAATAATTTTTATATAAATAATTATTTCATATAATAAAATAATTATCAGAATATAACTTGATCGAGCAATAATAATAATTTCTTTAAAATATTTCTATTCATCCTGATGAAGTGAAAACATATATTCATGTTCTACCTGAAATTTATCAAATGAAAAGTAATCACATGTGCAATATTTTATAATTTGATTTAAGTTCACATTAAAATATTTGATTTAGATGATTTTGGTTGCGCAAGCTCAATTGAGGTCATAAATAGTATGCTAATAATTTTTTTTTAGATTTAGAGTTATTGCCTAGGATTATACATCAAAGTTTTCAAAATGACTTAAGTATAAGACGAGAACTTCTACTATGCTATATAGTATTGGTGCTTTAATGTACAACTTAAAGTTGTACCATAACATTAAATGTATAAGTTTAGGTTGTACCATAAATGAATTTGTATTATTATGTTATGGTACAACTTTACAACTTGAAGTTGTACCATCACATAAAGGTACAAGTTCAAGTTGTACCATAAAAGAATTTGTACAAAACGTATAGGTACAATCTGAAGTTGTACCATAACGTAAAGGTACAATTTCAAGTTGTACCATAAAAACAAAAACCTATAGCACCAATACTATATAGCGTTGTAAAATTCTTCAGTATAAGAGTTGACGAACTTTGACTTCATTACTTAAGACGAGGCACAATATACCTTAAGAAATGACACGTGTGAATGTTAAATGAATCTTTGTTGAGAATATACTATAAATATCACATTTCATCAATCACTAACCTAGGCATTAATCAAATAAGGATTGGAAAATTTTTATTAATAGTTGAATGTCTTTTAGACAAATTAAAATTTGAGTATAGAGACAATAAATAAATATAATGTGTTAGTTGAGATATCTAAACAAAAAATATAGTTACAAGAATCTAAATCAAGGTATTGGGTTAAAATAAAGAATCTCTAATAAGAATGAGCTTAATAAGGCAATTGTAATAAGTTATTTAGTTATATGTTGTGAGTCTATGGCTCCATGCCAACTTTTGGCAATAATAAAAAAATTTCAATATCAAAGTATCAAATAGGAATTTTCTATTTTGTAACAGTAAGCCATTTGTATTTACAATAAATTTGTCTACAATAAATCTAAGTATTCAAATGTATGTGAAATGTCATTGTACTAATTCTTAAAGTTTATAAAAAAATTCAAAAAATTATAAACCATCATTACTTAATATTATATGAATTTAAAACTAAATTAGTGTCACATCAACGAATGGCTAGCTCTCACCCTTCCACAGTGGACAAGTTTTAATTCTTGCTTATATACTTTTTTGTTTACTCTTTAAATTATCATCATTATAAATAAAACATAAATTAAGTTAATAACACGGAATGCAACATTTTGGTTTGTTCATATCCCTTTTCTCATACAAATTCTCTCTATAAAAATAAAGCGCAATATTGAAAATAATAAAATGAAAAAATTGGATCAAGCCCCATAAAAACAAACAAACGTCTCTGCTTATTTGCTCAAAATGAGATTTCTAGCATTTCTTTTCTCTACTTTTTTCAAACAAATATAGGAAAGGAAATAGTAAGGCATATTGAGTTTTGTACTCTTTATAAGGGAATACGAGGGTGGAGTTACATAAGACAATGATTAGATGGAAAACAATTGAGCAACTGTAACATATATTTGACTATTGACTAAAAAAGTTCATCCTATCATTGCGAAGACGAATTGAATGAAGTCGATGATTGCTCATTGCTCCCTCTTTACCATTGATCTGTAGCTGAGAATTGGTCTCTTTTTCCTAGAAATATGTGGTTAATTGTGGTTGCACTACAAGAAAACCAGTCTATAGAGGCAAATAATTAGAGACAATTGTTGTATTGGTCTCAATAATTAAGTTTTAGGGGCAAATATATTATTTGTCTCAATAGGTAAAATTATTTGTCTCTATAGACAGATCTAATAGTCTTTAGACACAAATATATTTGTTGCTTATAGTTATGTCAAATATAGACAAATTTAATAGTTTTTAGATACAAATATAAATGCTACTTATACATATATCATATAGATGCAAATTTATTATTATTTAGAAACAAATACAAATGTTTCTTATAATTATGTCATATGGAGATAAATCTAATAATCTTTAGAGACAAATACAAATGTCACTTATAATTATGTCATATGAAGACAATTTAATAGTCTTTAGAGACAAATATAAATGTTACTTACAATCCATAACATATATTTACTATTTAGAGACAAATACATATGCTCCTAAAACACTAATTTGAATTAGTTGTTGTGTATAGGTTTAAGAATTATAATTGTTATAAAAAGATGAATTATAATTGATGTCCCTGCCAAATTTCATTATCATTAAAAAAAAGCTACAATTGTGAAATTTTAATTTTTGTAATGGCTCCCAAATTTCCCTCTCCCCACCCGCCGCCGCTCTATCTTCCCTTCCAAAGATTTCTCTGCCCATTCTTTTACTTCAACTTTCCCAAAAAAAAAACTTTCCATTTACTTTTTAAATCCCCTTCCACCCAGGCACCCACTCTCTTTCTCTTCTTCTACCTCCAAACCCAATGACCTATTACCAAACAATTAATGGCTTCATTTCTTCCTCCAAACCCAGCAAGCCAAACCTCCCTTCTATCGCTTGGCTTCCCTATGTAGGAGTCCTCTGCGACGAAACATCCTCTTCTACCTTCCGATGCCGCTGATAGCCCATTCCCCACGATCCTCTGGCTTTCCTTCATCAACGTCGCCTCCGACGAATCAACTTCCTCGTTTGCCTTCCGTTGTCGTTGCTAGCCGATTCCGGTTTCACTGATCTAGAACTACCCCTGCCATCAGCAACAAATCGATCCGGGATTACAATTTTCGGTCGGAGAAGCAATTTATTTTGTTTGTTGTAAGGAAAATGTCTCTTGGGTTTTGACTTGCGATTATGTCTTTCTCCTCGTCTCCCTCTCTTAATTAAATGGGTTATTTGGATTGTAATGTTTGTAGGGGGAGATTGGGGACAACAACCGGGTTGACAATGTCGCTCGAGGAATTTGCGGCGGTGGGGGAGATTCGAGAGTTATGGGTATGGGTGCTCTCTAGCAATTGGAGCTCTCAAACGGAAAATGGAAGACGGGGAAGAGTTGATGGCGGCGTTGGGTTCCGCCTTCCACTAGGTCTCGATCTGAGATCGATCTGGAGGGAAGAAGGGTCTGGATCTAGGTAGAGATTCGCTTGATCTGGAGAGGTCGGAATGGCGGAGGGAAACAAGTGGCAACGGGTCTGGGCAACGAGCATAATCGGTGGCACCTTATCCGGATGAAAGGAGAGAGTCGCGTCGGCCTAGCTGTCGTAGAGCTGGCACAACGATCACTATCAACGTCACAATGTATTCTTTATGTAATTTTTCTTTTTCTATTTATGTTTTTATGGGCAATGTATTAATGTATTTAAGAATAAATGTATTAAAAAGTAATTAATAAAATTAGAATTTTATTTTATTTGTGCCATTGAAGGTAAAATAATAAATATTAATCAAAATTATTAAAGTTGAAATAGAAGCAAAAGTATTTGTTCATGAAGCAAATATTTGCTTCGGTAAGGTGTTTTAGAAACAATTATAATTGTCTATAAGACTATAAATAGGAACATAAATATTTCTCTCTAAAACCAAATAAGAAGAGAAAAATATATGTTCTTTAATGTGGAATTACAATAAAAAAGATATGATTTAGATTTCTTAATTAGAAGCATATATTATCTGCATCTATATTTGCTTCTAAAGAGAATTAGAGACAGAGGCGTCCGATGAAAATAATTTATTTGTTTCGAAAGATATACAGAAACAAATAACTGGCTTTTAGACGCAAATAACCTCTGACTCTATTTCCATTTGTTTCTTAATTTCTTCCTGATTACAATGGTTGGATCGTAAATTTCCCTGCTCAAATCATGAATGTATTTCTCTTCATTTTTCAGGTAGTTGTTTATGGTTCTCTATGTTGTATACATTTATGTAAACAAGTAATAGACCATTGGAATGGTTTATTGCTTG